ACACAGGGGAGCGTGCAGGGTTCGGTTTAGGCTCAGGTTCTAGGAGTAATCCAGAACCCAAGCTAGATGAGCCTATAGTCCTGAAGCCAGGCCCCGGTGTAGCAAGCAAGAAGAAGCCACAACCACCAAGCCTTCTTAGCGCACAACCTGTAGGATCTGGACCTCCACAGGAACTTGAACCGAAGCCGGTCAAGCTAGAAAAGAAGCCAAAGGAAGACCCTGACGACCCAGGTTGGTTGAAGGTTCCTTCGGGTGATAGGGGCAGTGACAGTTTGAGAGGTAGGCCCTTACCTCCAAAACCTCCTCAACCCAAGAACCCAAGAACCAAGAAACAGAAACGTTGGGCGTCGTGGTCTAGCTCTGGATCAGACCCTAGTTCTGAATCCGAAACTATTGCCCGCCAGCTAACCCTCACTTTGAAAAAGGAGCATAGCGACGAGGGAGTAGTAATTGCTTCGGAGTCCCCAACTAGTGCTGGGTTCAAGTCTGTGTGCTCAATGGCAGTGTTGAGTAAGGGGAGGCGTAAGTTGATAACCAAAGGTATCAACGAATTAAGGGACCACGATAAGGCCCTTAAGCGCCTATTAGATGTAAGCAACGTAGGAACCACTGTTGGTCCTAAGCACATCGTTGTTTTCACTAGCGAGCCCCAACACTTCCAGGACCCAATGATCCACTGCATCAACGTGGGCCTGAACGCCACGAGCACCTGGACACCAAGTGGTGCCAGGAAGGAGCTGCAGTCTGTGGGTCCTAGTTTAGTTATAGTAGCTATAAGGTATAAGGACCCGATAGATGGCCTTAATCATTCCGACCTTATAGATGAAGTTGTTAGCCACTCCGAAGCATCCGGAACACCGTACCTGTTAATGGACAGTGCCCAGACCTATAGGTGGCAGGAAGCTAGCATTCCTATTCAACCTGTATACGGAGTAGGCGACATTTCCTACTATGGCAACGACAGTGGCATTATGGATGTATTTGATGGCTGGACCGCAAATAGCTATCCTTATATGGCGCCGTTGAGTTTTGACAATGTGTTTTCCGTAGATTTCGTTGTGTGGCTTCGACAAATAGCAGAACATCAAGTAGCTACTGCACTTGTTTCCCAAGAAGCCTTTCCAGCTCTTGAGGCCGACGAAGAATCCTTCGATCAGGTGGAAGAACCACGCGATTTCGCCTTGATGGACCCCTCCGAGGAGGCCATCGAGGAAGAAACTCGCCTCGACAACGTCGATTTGCGAGGATTACCCATAGAGGAATCCGAGCGTCGCGCGAAATGGCGAGCAGTGCCACAGCGGATAAGCATAGCGATCCGACGGTTACATCGCCAATTCGGCCATTGCCCTAAGAAGGTTTTAGTTAACCTCTTAAGGACCGCTAGAATCGATAAGTCGTATATAGAGGCGGCCCAATTTCATAGGTGCAATGAGTGCGAAGACGCACAGCCTCGTAGAAACGCACACACCGTATCCATGCCGGAACGGTATTCCTTTAATCACGCCCTAGGTATTGATATCTTTGAATGCTTAGATGCACAAGGCACTAAGTACCAAGTTATGAATATGGTGTGTTTAGGAACGTGTTTTCAGCTTGCAGAGACCGTACGCGTAGGCGACGGGTTGCCTTCATCAGCCCGATGCCTAGAGGCCATTCAACGTCGTTGGACGGCGTGGGCTGGTATGCCGGCGATTATACGGTGCGACCGTGGGTTACATAATCGCGGGGTACTAGCGCAGTTCTGCGCGGCTCATGGTATCCAAGTACACCACGCGCCATTAGAAACACCCGAGTCGATTGGCCGAGTGGAACGCCACGGCGGGATCCTGAAAGCGATGACTAGAAAGGTAGTATCGCAAACACAGGCCGTAGGCGAAGTGGCATTACAGACAGTCTTGGATGAGTGTTGTCTCACCAAGAATAGCATGCTGAGACATGGAGGTTACTCCCCATCTCAGTGGGTACTCGGGAAAACGCCGCGGGGACCTCCATCTTTAGTAGAGGAGGATAACACCGCCGATCTTGGATCGTTAAACGACCAGGTTGATCCCGAGAGTCGTTTTGCCCTAATCCATCAAGCTCGGGCGGAAGCCAAGAAAGCTTTTGTCCATTTGGACACCTCGAAACGCGTGCAGCGAGCACTTCTCAGGAATGCGAAACCGCTGCCGTACACGTACTCGGTAGGAGACGTGGTTTGCTTTAGGCGGGATAAAACAGGTAAAACTGTTTGGTCTACCGCGTCTAGAGTAATCGGTTTTGAGGGTAGCCAGAACGAGAGCGTGTGGGTTTTGTGTCAGAACGTACCGGTTCTAGTGTCCGCACAGAATCTCAGGCCTGCGCAAGATGCCGAGGCACTTGCACACGCAGTTCTCCAAGGGGAACCCGTGCTGCCAGAAGAACTGGTGCGCGGACAGCAACACTTCGAGGATCTTAGAGATGCACCTGGTGGTGACATCGATGACGAGGAGCCCGAAGAAGGACCTTCGGAAGGTACACCTCAAGAGGAAGTCGAAGAACCATCCTATGGTCTTCTGGACGGCCCAGGACCACTCTCATCAATCTTCGAGGATGAGGAGATGACTGAGCAACCAGAGCGACCAGAGAGAGGTAGATCTAGATCACCTCCACCAGCATCATCTTCGAGATCCCGACGGGTCAGTACAGCTGAACCCGAGGCAGAAAGAACCCCTAATCCTAGCAGGAGGGGAAGCAGATCAGACCTCCTGGACGATCTGCCAGCTCCTATTAGGTCACGTTTTGAGGAACGTAGACACGAGGAGGAAGCAAACGTGAGTATTCGACAGAAACTCCGTGGCTTTTGGTCTAACCGGTTCTCTTCCAGAGAACAGGTTGAGCAGGAGCTCAAGGACCTCCCCGAGGCCTTGAAATACTGGGAATGCACCCCAGCAGTCCGCTTGCGGATCGATGGATCACGCGCTAAAGAGTGGAAGAAATATGAGGACTTTCAAGCGGCAATTCCGCTGAAAGGAACGCAGCTTAAGGAACTATTAGACGCCGGTCATACGCCGATACCATCCAAATGGGTCGACACTATTAAGAACTACCATGAACGTCTTAAGCCGGATTATGAACCTGAGTTCAAATCCAGGCTGGTGTCCTGTGGAAATTTTGAAGATTCCACAGAGGTTCGCACGGACGCGCCAACCTCAGACCTCGAAACGCATGGCCTAGTATCAGCGTTCGCCGCATCCAATGGAGTCCCTGTAGAATCGTCAGATATTCGCAACGCCTACTTTCAGGCCGAGCCAATAGACAGAGTTGTACTTATGAGACAACCTGGCGGAGGACTTCCAGGAGTAGATCCGGAAGCGATGCTCCTGATCAGAGTACCGGTATACGGGCTCTGCGATAGCGGCCGAGGATTTTGGAGGAAAGTCGACCGAGAAGCACGTGAAGTCGGCTTCCAGGTGAGCAGGATTTTCCCTGCATTTTACTTTTACCGCGCCGGCGGAAAAGTAGTCTGTGTCTTGACAACACATGTCGATGACTTTTTATGGGCATCGATAGGCAAGGGCGGAACTATCATAGATAAGCTCCTAAAGAAGTTCGAAGTAGGCCGCCGCGAGTCGGGAAGACTACGCTTTTGCGGTAAGCAATTCGACATATCTGGAAAGGACGTGTTAATCGACGTTACCGATAACACGAATAAGATCACCTACATTGATGTCAAGGCAGGAAGGAAACACTCGGATCTTATTGACCGAGGTGAAGAACGTCAACTACGTTCTGTAGTCGGCAGCCTTTCGTGGATTTCTAGGCAGGCTAGGCCAGATATCCTATACCGCGTATCGAAGCTTCAGAGCTCGATAAAAGGTGCAACTGTTAGCACTCTTCATGAGGCTAACAAGGTCCTAGAACTTGCCTCAAGGGGTCGCGACCTTAAGTTAAGATACAAAAATGGTGCTTTTGATTTCGAGAGCCTGGGCGTACTGACAGCCTCAGACGCTAGCTTTGCGGGTGAAAAGGGAGACCGATCACAACAAGGACGGATCCATTTTCTCGCTCCAGCTGCCCAGCTTCGCGATCCAAATTGTAGTCGTTACGACACAATGATCGTGTCGTTTTCATCCACCACAATCAAAAGAGTATGCAGAGCAACTCTTCAGGCTGAGACTTACGCACTCCAAAGTGCCCAAGAGGCAGGGGATCGCATAAGAGCAGCCCTAGCCGAAATCTACGGATTCGGTAGTAGTGGTCCCGATTGGGAACTTCGTGCGAGGACACAGGTTCCGCACATAGCGCTGACGGACTGCCGCAGCTTAGCCGATCACCTCAACACGGAGGCTCCGTCCCGTGTGCAAGACAAGCGATTGCAAATCGAGCTTAGCGCTCTTCGCCAGTCTATCTTTACAGAAGACGGTAAGCGCACGGTTGAAGCCTACCCTGCGGGTGGAGATAGAGTGGACTGGGTCGATACAGCCACTCAAGCCGCTGATTGTTTCACAAAGTCCATGAAACCGGATTTCATCATAAAGGTGATTGAATCTGGTGAGTACAGCATTAGTCGAGCTAAGCTGTAGACGTAGATTGCAGACGCTACAATCGTGGGCATACGTTGTATGTACCATAGTAGCTGAGTCGGTGCTAGGGTAGCATGCAGACACCACTTCCAGAGGACAATGCCTATTGTACCTCATGTGGTTAATTCAAATTTTCCTCAATGTCATGGCATGAGAACAGGTTGAGTGTGAATGCACCCTCTGTTGTACATGTACAGGAAGCCATGGCCATGACATGCATGTGTTAACTGTATATATTTCCCGCTGCCGTTAGGGCCCTTGAGTCATATTCAGATAGCTTCGCAGTCGGCGAAAAGATCCACCAGTTTCTCAAACATGATATGACGTGGATCACGGAAAGAACAGAGCACTTAAAGACAAATAGTTCGTTGCTGTCGATGGTTTGTCTGAGGGCTCTGCAAATTTGCTACTGCTGCCGACAATCGGAAAACATTGCAGCATGTCACATGATGCCTGGAGGAATGGACGACTGACGATGAGTTGAAAAACTTCTCAGCGGTGCTGCCACCAGGACGGGTAAACGCACTGGCTATTGGTCAGTAGGCATATTTCTGGTTATAAACCTTGAATCTGGTGGCATTAGTACGATTTTGACATGATGGCAGGTTGTTCTGGCATGATGGCATTCGACAGTCCTACACTCGTACACTAGTGCTTTCTCACAGCACAACTTGCATGTGAATCACAAGTAATCCCAATGCTCATGTCCAGTTATCTTTTTCGTTGCTGACAAACAGGGTCATAACTTTATGTCGCGCTTTCCATGGCCTTTCGCTCGTCATGCTGTGATTGCAAGAGCATTTTGTACCCAGAGTGTTCTGCAGCTTTGTTCTGAAGCTTGCATGCTCATGGTAGATCCAGCAATTGTTCCATGGAGCCTGAACGCTGACATCTCTACCCAAAGCATTCCGAGACCCTTAAGCTCTGACTCTCAGGAACTGAGAAGCTGACTCTAAGCTTCGTTTGTCCAGACAAATTCACCGACACAGCTCTCAGCCACATCGGGGCAGGCAGGTAGTGTCTGCTGCCGTGCTGATTCGAGGGATGGAAGAAGACAGCTCTGGAAGCTTCGAAGCATAGACGAACTGAAGTTACCTCCTTTCCGGTTGGGACGGCACCGAAGTTCAATCACAGTCTAGCCGCATATTTGTGCCAACGACCTGTCACAACAACTACTGTGCACAGATGACCTTGGCATGTTGTTTTGGTCAGCTTGTCTAGTGCAGATATCCGTGTGTATGGTCATGATTCCCGATTTTCCTATGTTGCTGTGGCATGTGTCACATGTGCAATCTGTATACATCCGTGCCTGTGTACACATGTTCGTACATCGATGCATGCATGCAGACATGCGTACAGAAACACAGACGTGCAGACATTCAGACATGCATACATGCATACATACATACAAGCAGACAGACAGACATACCGACGTACAAGCTCAACAGTCACGGCATTCTTCGGCAAGCATCACAAGCCTTCATCATGAATCATCATCATCGTCATCATCACCACCATCATCACAACAACCATCATCATCATCACCATCAACCATCAATCATCAGGCATCATCCACCACCACCACCACCACCACCACCACCACCACCACCACCACCACCACCACCACCACCACCACCACCACCACCACCACCACCACCACCTTGCACCAGAATATCCTCCATGTTGCAACAAACCTTGTGAGGCTTACCAGGCACGTTACAGAAGTTGGCCCTGGCCTTTGAGTTCTCGATCCTCGAAGGCAGAAGAGGAATCGCAGTGACTGTCCGTAAGTACCTCAGGGGCTGAGGGGGTCTGCTTGATGTTGTGGGGTTCTCTTCAAAGGGTATGTGACACCACGGCATTTATTTGCAACCGCGGGACCGGAAAGCTATCGACCAGCAGTGCCAAAGGGCATGCCGTCAGCATCTCAGGTGGACAGAATGCAAGATCACATGCGGCGGCTTTGCCAAATTGGCGGAAGGTTTGCCGAAGGCAGCCGGAGCTCACAGACTTTGCATGCAGGGTCCATGCACTGCAGCATATGAATGAGACGAAATCAGTCGAGTACTTTGAAAGGAGAGGAATGCTTCCCTTGTCGACTTGCGGAGACGTGGCAGGGTCTGACCTCGCTCGATCTGATCGTCAGAAACGATGAGCTTCCAGACAAGGCAGTGGCTAACGGCCTGTGGTGATTTGCGCTCGGTGATATTGCGATGCGAAATGCTTAAGTCTGCTGCTTCTGATTGCCAGGCGCTTGAAAGCCTGGCTGACAAACTGCCATCCACATTGACAAGGGCACCGCGAGCAGCAGTGATTTCGCAAACTCCAAGAGATGCTTGCGTTTCCTTGTGCTGCATGAAGGCGGTTGTAGACATTCAATTGTCCCAGGACCGGCAGGAAACTGAAAGGCATAGTCGGCCCCAGGAAAACCAAAGCCTTCTTGAGCCGGTTTCGAACATCCGGATCTCTGTATAATATGCAGTTAAGTAATTCAGACCGCGCTGTGGCTTTGAGGTAATGCTCAGTTTCAAAGACAACGCCGAGTTCACAGACAAAGGGCTTTGTGTCTGGACTGTAAGTCTCGCTCCGTGAATTGTCAGCGGATTTTTTTCAAAAGTGAAGCCTTCCTTGACGAGCGTGGAGCTTTCTGGGCCACATCTCACTTGCAAATCCCCAAGGTGCACTCATAGCCAGCGGCATGGAAGCATTTGAGATCCTCCCGGTCCCCGGCGCCACAACACCCGGAAGCACCCGCGCCTCAAGGCTTTCCTGCTACTCTGCTGGAGCTCATCCTCAATGTTGATGCCAATCCGCAATTGACGGACACTACCCTGCAAGCGTGCGGAACCTCAGGGGTGTCATTCCTTTGAACCATAAAGCATTGGGGCAACAGCTGGAGGTGTAGCGGAGTGTCTATATTAGTGTTTCCAGTTCTGGCGTCCCTTCTTATGTGACTTGAAGCAGGCGACACAAGCTGGAGCAAAGAAAGTGCAGAGCATAGCAGAGCCGCGTGGTCTTCCGTGCATATGGTGAGGAGTCGATTCACATAGCGAGCATAGGGCCAGGACTACGGGGTTGCCGAGAAGGGTTTGGGGCAGCTGCGATGCATAAGGATGGCTGTATAGGTTCCGCTGAAGACGCTGTCGTTGTGCGAAGGTTTGCGAGCTGGTTGAGCAGCTCTGGCTCTGGCTTGCAGAAGCCACTTGACGATGCAGTATATTCCAGAAAGAGTTAGTTCGGATATGTTCGTATGGCATACATAATATTAATATATATATATATATATATATAAATGTATACGCGCATAGTATACATTGAACTATTTGACAGATCTGCAAAAACGAATAAGTACATAAGTGTGTGAATATATATATATATATATATATATAACACACACATACTGCTATTGAGAAGCATAGGTATTGTGGTATTTGTATATCCATCCATTTATCGGTCTATGCGTCTGCATTCCTGTCTATCAATCGATCGATCCGCGTATCTAAATCTACCAATCTACCAATCTACCTATGCATCCGTTTGGCTGTCTGTCTTTCTGGCTGTCGGTCTGCCTACTTATCTATCTGCACGCATGCGCATATACATATACATATCTGTATGTATATATATATATATACTTATGTGTATGTATGCGTACGTAGTTCTGTAGATGGTAGCTATGCAGGTATGAATGTTCTCATGTAGATGTACCTAGGTACATGCATACACTTGTTGTTGTTTCTACGAAGCGCTCGCCTGAATGAGGCTCTATTTGATCAGCAACAGCAGCAAGTACACGCAGAACGGCCTGAAGGAGCTTTGCTCCGCATTGCCCAGCATGAAGGAGCTGAGGTTGCTCGGAAAGCCCAGAGAAAGCATGGACAGCCTCCAGCACCCTGCTGGCTTTGTTCCGACAATCAAGCCACCGTCGCTTCAGTACTGCTTCTACTTCCAATACCTGTGTGCTCGACGCGTGGTGCCAGGATGTTTCCAAATTTTGCAAGAGCACGGCTTGTAGGACTTGCAGTAGCAATCGACACCCGCACACGATTTGCCAAGCTTTAAGCAGTTCCAGATCTCACTGGTTAAGTCAGGAAGGTCCTAAAGTTGCAGAGCCGAGAGCGAATGAGAGCGTCATGCCGAATCTTCCAAGGCTGGAGTTTCAGTCCAGCGAGGCTGAGCCCGATCTCGGCAGCCAGTTCGTGGTGTCACCGGACAACTTGATCACCTTCATGGGCAGCGGAAGCGCTTCGTAGAAACTCACCGTTCGCCGCAATGACCCGACGGTGTGATCAGGGGCAGAGTTCACTAATCCCGACAGATCCTGCTTGCCCCTTGCTGGGAGCATCGGCTGGGACCATGGAGATGGTTCACAGGTTCACAGTCGCTTTCGCATTACAAGCAGGCTGCGGCAGAGGCAGAGTCTCGCCTTTGTAGGACTACTGTGTTTAGTCGTGGCGGGAACCGATGCGTGTTGGTACAGAGTTGACAAAGCTGGACTGCTATCGTGGGATGATCGACCTTGACTGCAATCGGAGACCGTCTTGTGGAGACCTTCCACAAACTGCAAATACATTCCATCAGCTTCGACTTGTCGCTTCGAGCCTTCAGCATTGGAGCTCACTTGCCAAAGCAGCACAGACAAGTCGTCGAATTTGATCGTCTATAACCTTCGGAGAACACGCTTGCGCTAAGTTTGCCGCATCTGCTCTTCATGTTTTCAGATTTTGGGGTTGCTAGGCTTAAGCACTCCTCGCAGCAGGTCATTTGGAGCCTCTCAGCTTGGAAACTGTCCGGAGGCAGGTGTGACGCATCGCTGCGCCGCTACACGCACGCCAGCCGCGCCGCGCCGCGCTGCGCTCGCCAGGTCGCACCATGGCCAGAGCAGCTCAGATGCAGACCTTCCCAGCCCACTTGTGACGGTAGCCGGCTGTTTCAAGGCTGCTGGGCACCATTGGCGAAGGCGCTGAGGCACCCGTGCACATGCGATCTTGCGAGTCTCTCAACAGGGCAGTGAGACCGGCTGTTTGTCGCCATGAGCTTCGGACGGTATCTTTGGGGCTTGATTACTGGATCTTAGTGGACTCCGTCTGCAACACGTTGAAGATGTCACTCAAGGCTGCTCGGTGTGGCCTTGAATTCATGTCAGGCTGCCCGGTCAGTATGTCTGGAAGTTCTCATCGGAAGCCCGGCATGCTGGGAGATGAACACCTCTGGTGTGTGTGTGTGTGTGTGTGCGTACCACCCTGTGACCAAAGGACTATTCATTCGCCATTTCAATCAAAGCAGGGGGCCAGCGGAGAGGCAGGTAAGATGAGTGCGTGCGTTGGCCAACGAAGACCGCGCACTCATTTACCTGTCCTCTCGTGAAGACGTACCTGCTATGAACTCGGAAACGGGCAGTGTAAGGAGCGAAAAGATGCTGATTGATTGGAATCTGCTAAGGCCACGATTGTAGAACACGTGCTAACTCATGTTTGGCTTCGGTCAATCGAGAGTCCATCAAGTGTTTCATTCGGCTGGGAATCTGTCGTAGTGCCAGTCGTGAGGCTCCAGCTTTATGTAGAAAGCTCGGTGGCCAGACGTATGAATGCTCACCTTCGGGTGCAACAATTCTCCTGCACTCTCTCCTACAGATCCTAAATGCGACAGGCCACTAAAGGCGACATCAACTTGTGTCTCCTAAATGCAACATCTCCTAAATGCGACATCTACTACTCTACAACTTGTGAGCTCCAGCCATGAAATCGAAGTGAGAAAAAGGCAATGTTGGGAGGGCTGCGGCTTTGCCTGCGAACTTCCACACTGACCCAACAACTAAGCTGCATGGTGGGGGGGCTGCGGCTTTGCCTGCGAACTCCCACACTGAATCAACGGTGACATGGCAATGTTGGGAGGGCTGCGGTTTTGCTTGCGAACTCGCGCATTGACCATGTCTTCATCTAAAAGGCATTTGTCCCCCTAAACCATACACACTAAAAGCCAGGTGAAGACGAATATGCACACGGGGAGCACATTTCTCTTGTCGTTGTGTACTCTTTGCGTGCGTGCTCATCACCTGATCTTTTTGCACAGGTGCTCATCACCCTTTCATCTCACCGTCCTGTCTCCCTAAATTCTCCCTCACTCATGCACCACAACAACCGAATAATACAACGACTACTCTATGTGGCAGAATGCGCAGCATATGTTGGAGCTTGCAGAGTGCGGTTCGCCCATGTTGGAACGTGTAGACTGCTGATTGCTTATGTTGGAACGTGTAGAGTGCGGTTCGCCCATGTTGGAACGCGTAGCGTGTTGTTTGCTTATGTTGCAACGTGTAGAGTGCGGTTCGCCTATGTTGGAACGTGTTGCGCGCGGCTTGCCTATGTTGGATCGTGTAGAGTGCGGTCCGCCTATGTTGGAACGTGTAAAGTGCGGTTCGCCTATGTTGGAACGCGAAGAGTGCCGTTCGCCTATGTTGGAACGTGTAGAGTGCTGGTCGCTTGCGTTGGAACGCATTAATTTGCTGCGGTTGGTGTTACCCCTTCACAGGGGCATCTGTGTGTGTACCACCCTGTGACCAAAGGACTATTCATTTGCCATTTCAATCAAAGCAGGGGGCCAGCGGAGAGGCAGGTAAGATGAGTGCGTGCGTTGGCCAACGAAGACCGCGCACTCATCTACCTGTCCTCTCGTGAAGACGTACCTGCTATGAACTCGGAAACGGGCAGTGTAAGGAGCGAAAAGATGCTGATTGATTGGAAGCTGCTAAGGCCACGATTGTAGAATACGTGTTAACTCATGTTTGGCTTCGGTCAATCGAGAGTCCATCAAGTGTGTGTGCGCATGTGGCTGCCCTCGACTTGTTTCTGCTGACAGCGACCTTTGCCCGCCCCGGAAAGGGAAAGGTGCTTGGCTGTGGCCTTGCACAGTGTGGCACAGTGCTGTGGAATCGGTGGAATTCAGAGGTAAATCTACATGGCCCTTCCAAACAAGCAGTTAAACCAAATTAAACTTGCAGACATAATATGGCCCTCGTTCTGGCTTTCGGAATCTGGCGAAAGTCGACATCGTGCTCCTGCCGCAGGGCCGGGCGGATTTTGGTTTTACCCGCTTGTCGACCGAAATCACGCGGTCGCCACAGCGAGTTGATCGCAACTCCTGTTTGCGCCTCCAAAGATCGTGTTCTCTCCGCCGTGCCCTGCACATGGACTGGTGCGCACGTCGTCTTCCTGTCGCCGTGCGGACAGCTCGCGACAGCATCTGATTGGAGAGAAGATCAAAAAAGAAGCGGGCCGAAGCAAGCACAGCATCTGCAACAATCAAACAAGACGTTTGTCATGTGATGTGCGAGCAGGCCTTCAAAGCCGGTGAATTTCTTCGAGCAAAGGCATGCAGATCTTGGGGCGATAGGGCTCAGAGTCCGGTGTAACCGTTTTTTCAGTGTAGCCCCCACTTGACTCCAACCTCGATTTTTTTGCAACAAGGCTAACAAGGCCTCCTGACCTACACGTTCCAAAGAGCTCTGCCAGGAACTCCTGGCTGAAGCTGCTGATTTGACTACTGGCGACGAGCGCAAGGCTGTCGGATGTCTTACTTCTTGTACAGTATGCAGTGCGCAACTTCCAACTAAGCACCATGTGTCGTGAGCCTAGGGCAGCAGGCTCCCCCGAGACATTCCGATGATTCCTGATGCTTCCTGATGCTTCCCGCTTTCTCTGATCTGTTCTCAAGAACCACCCTTAAGCCACACTTATCCTGTTCGCTTGTTCTTGAGGCAGTGTTTCAAGGTTGGTGTTTGCTTGCTACTTGTACCTGCTTTTGTTGGTTGTTTTTTGTCGGGATCCAGCGTCCTGGCTTCCGCTGGTCGCAAGTGTATTTGCATGCACTCTGCTATTCCGGAGAGAGCAGATCTAAGTTCAATCGGAGCTCTTGATGCACATGAGGTAAATTGCTTGAGGGAGGGCGTGTTTTTCTCGGTCCTTTGTTTTTCGCCCTTGTTTTGTAGGGGCGGGCGAAGAAGTGAAGGAAGAGAGGAACGATTTTCTGCTGCTCTTTTGGTTTGATCTCAGAGCTGCTCGGCTCCTCTGCTTCGCTCTTCTGCCCTTCTAGCTTGTTCTGCTCCGCTTTTCGGCTTTCTCGCTTTCAAGGAGAATGCAGGAAGGCCAGAAGGAAGTCAGGAAGTGAAGGCACGAAGGAAGAAAGCTATGAATCACGCAAGAAGGAATCCACAAACTCAAGAAGCAGGAAAGAAATACTGATCAACAAACAACCTGTATATGTACTAGATATGTGTGCCCAATGGGAGGGGTTATGCGCTCCCCCGCCAGCACGCCGCTCCCGCCGAAGCCTAGCCAAATCAAGGCGAGCTTTCTCCCTACCTACAGTACATACCGACGGATCTGCCAACCAAGGGTCTGACTACATCTCTATCTATCTGTCTTTCTATCTACCTTCTCTATATATGTATACACGCTATATGTACTGTACATGCGTATCTATCTTTCTATCTATTTGTCTATCCATATATATATATATATATATACATAATAGTGTTTTGTCTCTCTCTCTCTCTCTCTCACTCTCTCTTTCTCGCTATCAGTGTATGTATATGCACACACGCACACCTATGTACTCGATAAACAGCGACATATACAAATATACTATAAGTATACTTGATAAACATGTACGCGTGTGTGTGAATATATATATATATATATATATATATGTATGTATGTATGTATGGATGGATGGATGTATGTATGGAAGAAGGACTCACAACCAAAACAAGGGACCGAAATAGACCTCCTCCCGTGTTGAGCCTCCATAAGTTCATGCCCTTCCCCTTACTAAGAGCACATTAGTTGTAGCAATCGAAGCCGTATAGGTGTGCTGGCGCTTGGCTCTCTCGCTACTCTGAGGGTCGTCTGGGAGTAGGAAGATGTCGCAGTGGCATCTGGCTGATTTTGTGCACGACTCGAACCGCTTGCTTGCGTCCATCTTTCCGGTTCTACTGTAATTAGGTCCTGCAGGTTGAAGTAAGCTTGTCCCCCTGCCTGCCCAGACTTTAGACTCGGCGGCATTCATGCAAAGCATATCCGAGAAGTACGTAACACGGGCAGGTGGAAGCTGCGTTGTTCCAGCCTGGGTATCGCCACCTTTCATCGCCCCTCCCAACTGTGAGCCCTCCAGCTCCGCGCGACGAACGGTTGTGCGCTTGCAGGAGCTTGTGAAAGTCAAGCAATGCAGAAGGAACACTCCGCATGACGTGGCCGGTAGGTCCCACCAGCCATGACATGAGCAAGATACAGGCTGCCTTGACCACCTGCCCAGCGATGTGACTCCAATCGTTTCAAGCAGTGCCTGAGCAAGCGAAATGCTAAAGAATCAGTTTTTGCCTGCAGGCTTTTTCTTGCTCGCTGGGCATTGCCGCACTATATCGAGCTTTGGCTTATGCCTATTGCTCTCATGTGCACAAGGACTCATGAGTTGCGAGTGCTGTGCACGCTCACTGATCCAAGATGTAGGGAAGTACGGTATTTGTGCTGCTTGCTTGGTGTTGTCGTCTGTAAACATCTTCTGACGGGTGAATGTAAGTTGCTGGCATGCAGGACGAACGAATCATGAGGCAGGCATCCCGGTTCAGTCCGTCCTGCATGCAATATTCAGCTCGTGAATCGCGCGAGGCGATCGAACCAGATTGGTTTGCGCTTCTTGCACCTTGGCTGTCTGGCACGGTGCAGGCTGCTTATGAGTCTGAGCAATGGATTAGAAGCTCGCAAAAAGGCAAGTGCGCGGCGCCGTTGACAGAAGCAGCACAAAGTCATATTCGGCATATCTGCATGCCTGTCGTTGATTGTCTATCAATCTACAAGCTTTGGATGAACAAAAGGCGCATTGACATGAGCATCGTTGTAGTTTGCAGCGCTTGTTCATGAAATAGTGGGGCTGATTAAGCACAAGCGAGGACGGCTCCTGTTCCCCGCATATCACATGTGCTTTTCATGGAATCAGCACTGATACTTCTGTATGGCAAGCTGCTGCAAAGATTCCACCATAGGCTAACATATACGCAGAAGGAATCAAAGTTTCAATCACGAAGCCCAAAGCACTCGCCGGAAGCTGGAACGGGACACCACCAAACCGACAGCAGAACCCGAAAAAGGATGCAACGCCAGACCACAAAGCGGCAGCGGCACGACCGAAACAGCCAAAAAGACCTGCGCGAACTTATTTGCAGCGTGAAGGTTGCGAGAAAGGTGAACTTCCAGCTTCGGATGGAACCTGTGACGATGTATGCTGTGCTGCCACTGCCGTGCGGCGCTGAACTAGGATGAGCGCTAAGGTACCAAGGGGCTCTGCTTGTACGAAGCCCCGACGAAGATCAGACCAAAGTCTGACAGCAAATTCGCAAGTCTTCACCCCCAAGCTTTGCTTTCTTTTCGCAGGTTGCACTCCGACGGAAAACCAGAACTGATAGCTGGCGAGCCTCGCAAGCTGAGGCATCTGGCGATGAATTGGTGCCTTGCTGAGATCGAACGCACATGTCACGATAACGTAGTGTCTTCCCGCTTTGCTGACGTTTCCCCACCTGCTATCTCTGAGGCTAACCCATACATTTGTTTCAACCAATCATGATCAGGCCAGTTGAGTTGGCCTTTTCAGAGAGCCGTGAATGCAAAGAGAGATGCTGCGTACAGATTACCTGCTGCAGGCCCTCATTGATGGAAGTGCATGGCCAATCGGGATCCAGGAGATAGTTGTCGGCTGATGCGTCGTGTCTACCCATGCAGCCAAGCCTGGCCCAGTAACCGTGCTGGTTGCAGTCTCGTGTTTGTTTGCTTGATGGAGGACATAAACAACGACCTGACGCCTAAGACTCGGGCTGTGCAGATACTGTTTCGATTGCAACGCACCTCGATCACAGAAAAGGACATCCTTTTCAACATCATGCCGAAAACCCGCTTCCAGCGAAGCCTGCTGTAGCTAAGAACCGTAGTTGAGGAGCAGGCTCTTCCGAAGAGCACCCATGGACTTGGACTTAAGCAGATGCTTTGCTCATTGCTTCCAGGTCCGTTTACGCAGCGATCCAAAAGTCTGGGCCGAGCGGTCGAGAACTCAGTCAGGCTTCGCCTAATGTTGCAGAGATGCAGAGATGCACCGCGGCGGCGAGGCCATGCACCAACAGCGGCCGGAAGAAGCGTGCCTCATGACTTCAGGCCCCTCCAGCCAGCTTCCTCTCCTGAAGAGGGCAAACGGCTTCGGCCGGTCAGCGATGTTGTTTTGCGTCCTCACATTGTTAAGCTGCATTTCGCTGCACATCCAACTTCCACCGCATTTTCTTCTGCATGCCCTGTGCTCTGTTGGATGTTTACGCCATGCATAGTTTTGCATCTCGGTGGCTGTCCCTCCACATCCACGCACCGGGGTCTCGCACCACAGCTTAGCCGCCTTAACTTGCCCCGCGAGCATTTACTAGTGTAAGGAGCGACTCGACAAGGTCCGTGACTCCGAAACCGTGCGGAGATGCATCCGCATCCACTATGAGTCGCGTCGTTTCGTTTCCAATCGAGTTCTGATGCCTTGCTCGTTTTGGAGTCCCAAACTTCACTTTGTTGATTAGTTTCCTAGCCACAGGCTGGAAAACCTCACAGCTGACTGAGCGAGCCACGACATGTGACACCAACATGATTAAGAAGGCAAAACTCCAGAGACCTCATCTATTACGGATGTGGTGAAGAGTCCAATACCCGACGCGTGCAATTCAGTTCGGGCAGCTGCGAGGCGTCAGGATATGAGAATCGCCATCGTCAGTCTTTGCGTCGTTGCCTCGGGTGGTGCGTGGATGCAGTAGTAGTCCGGCAGTCTGTGCCGACATGATGTACGAAAGTGCAATCATGGTGGCACATTTATTCCGATTCGGCGAGAGAGAGAGTGAGAGAGAGAGAGAGACGGGTTGTAAAGGTGTTGCTGGATATTGGTGGCTCAAAGCAGTGTACCATGTCATGAACCAGCTAGCAGCCGGAACATTAGGCTCACGCCGCGCCAGCTTACTTTTCAAGCCTTTCTACCACACTGCTGAAGATTCAGGTACGGCGCCAACGTATGCCCAAGCCAGCCCATGCACACCAGAGAGAGCTAGATTGCTACTTCCATTTGGCATAAATGACACCCGCCAAAGCCAAAATTCGACATTCAGGTGTTCCCACGCATTAACGTCCAAGCTTGATATGTGTTGCAATGGCACAGCCTTCATCGCTGCAGGCTCCCGCTGCGGGGTGGTGAGTGTATAGATAAGCAGCTGAATCGATGATGGCCATCGTGGTTTAAGCATTTCCGTGTAGCGCAGTTGTGCATGCAGCAACAAGCCTGTGCGATCGGCCGTGCAGTTTCTCGGCTCGATCGCTTCTTTCGACTTGACTCTCCCCCTTGGCGCCCTTCGCTTCTCCGTCTGGTCATGGCTTCGTCTGGCGCCTCTCCGTCCTCCTCCGCCTCGGCCGCTGACGCCCTGACGGCCGACTTGGCCTTCGTCGGTGGCACTTCGTCGCCCGCCGCCTCTGGCATCTTCCATGGAAGGAACCGCCGTTGGCGGATCCCTCGCCCATGTCGGCCGCTGGGTTCTTTGGCGGTTTTGAGCCCGCGGTGAGGCACAGACCGAGCCGAACGTTCGTGGCGTTGGACGCCCAAGCGCGGCTTGGCTGGAGCTGCGCCTGTGGCAGTGAAGGCGTCGCCACCTAACGTCGACCTGCTGGGCTTGGGGCGACCCGGACGTAGATACCTCTGCCCTACCTTTCGCCTCAGGCGCCCGCTATTCCCGGCTTTCCCACATGTCGGCAAGTCAAATTCCGTTCTCGGCAGACTCCTGGTCTCAGGCCCACCGGCCGACCGGCACTCGTCAAGTGTGACGGCCACTGGCCGCACAGAACGCCGCAAAAGCGCGCCAACGACCGACGACTTGTGCAAGGTGCCAGCCAGCCGACCGCCGCTACTCTGATGCCGTCTCCAAGGGGAGACGACTCCAGGGCTCGGAAAGGCCGCGATCCCGTCGACGAGGTGATGTTGATTGTCGCTGAGGCGGCTTATCGACATCGACTTCGCCTGCCACCGGGTGCCATGTTGCCATTTGGCAGTAGTGCCGGCCTTGCGGGAGGTGGACGCAGAAGTGCGCACTCCGGCGCCGGCACCGCTTTCTGGGGTGGTGTGCCAGGCCGTGTTGCAGTTCGCGCTTCGACCAAAAAGGGGCCACTGCGCCCTAGTGGATTTTGGCCAACACGTTGTTAACGTTTGCCTTGCTATGTTTCAGACCGTAGGTCTCACTATCTACACTGTGAAGCCTGTATCCATCTCTGTAGTCGATATCTGCATCTGCATGCATGAGGGGCGCTCCATGGCGCCAGGCATGAAAGCACAACTGAATCTTTGCATGGCAGCGAGTAGAAAAATCATGTATGCAAAAAAACAACATTGCATGGTGCCGCATTGAAAGGAGCTCGAAGTGCTGAGCGCCGGAGATATCAAAAGGCTCCTAACACGCGAGGGCGTGAGCTACCGGGTGGCATTTGGGCACTTTCTCGCATTACTTTGCTTTTGTGTCTGAGTCAAAGAGCGACCAGCATCGGCTTTGCGATTGAATGGAGGAGGCCAAACATGCGCTGTCCTTGCTTTCGCCATACTCGACAAGCCAGGTGTGTCGCACCAAAAGAAACAGCGTTCTGACATGTCTCGACGAACAGGTTTCGAGAATGCAGTTTTGTGAACGCTGCTGACGCGCACTCCTAAGGTACTAGTTACTAGCCAGCATCCCCATATGTTTGGACATATTTGGACATGTTGATAAACACGAGACTGCGATGCAGATGCAGGTGTGGACAAAGTGACACCTGCAGATATCCATGGCCGGGCATCTGCAAGGTTAAATGGTTGGAATCAGACACCACCGAAAGTAAACGTCCCGGAGTTCTGGTCTTGAAACTCTTGCTCCACTGCTGTGTGTTTCTCTGATTGCGACCTGTCAGATTCACAGTGGCAGCAGTAGCAGCGGCAGCGGCATAAGCAGCAGAAGCAGTGGCAACTAGCGCAGCACCGCAACCGACGAAAAGGCAGTGGTAATGCTCAGGACGTCAGCTTACCTGATCCAAAGAGTTGCAAAGGCAGGCACACATGATTTCATGATGTTCGCCTGAGGCTCTCGTGGCTGCATCGAGAAAGCTGACTTTGTGCATCTTGGCTTCAGCCACGAAGTCTCACGGCATAGCACCTGCCACAATACGCCTGTGCCATGTGATGCTGCGCAGGAGGCTGGCAGCCAAGACCTTCGGCATTGAGATTGGCTTCTTAGCTTGATGTTGACGCGTGGACCGCGAGATGTTTGCCTCGCAGTGCAGTCAAGGTGCCCAGGCTGAGGACAAAGCACAAGATGGAGGCCGTTTGTCTTGAGACGAACAGCTTCCGGCCAAACACACCACATTTCACTGCTTGTTTTTCACCTCCATGTTAAGAATTCTGATTTTCAATGGCGCCGTTCACATCTTGCGACATTGCACGACGTTCACTCTGTCTTTTCCCGGCAGGTGCAGAGCAAGACCGGAGCCCTAGCCAGGCACACATCATGTTGCGCATGGGTCTCCTTCCTGACACAAACCCTCGCTTGAACACTTACTTTAGCGTTTAAGGAAGTCGATTTACTTAAACTTGACTTAAATCTTCAAGCCCAAAAAAGCATGCCACAAAGCATGCAAAAGCGTGATCCGAACGTTCGAAGCGTGACTTCGTGACATCGAAGGCCAGCATCCGCTCGGACTGGAGCGAGGCAGCGAAGGCCTCGGCCAAGGTGAAGGCTCGGTGGTCCGGACTCGCAGACGAAACAACTCCTTTTCTGTACGCACAGAGCCAAGGCATGCTACAATGAAATCACCGAATAGAGGTAAATGGGTAAGCATGTACATGCATACCGCATACCTATGCAGATAGATTCGACAAACCTGCAGGAAGTAGATAGATAGCTAGATAGATAGATTGGCAGATGTATACCCCCAGGGCAAATAACAGTCTAAGAAAGTGGACTAGGCAAGCAAATCAGGAGATCCACCTTTCTCATGATGTGTATGCATGTACGTACTCACGCACATATGTATGTACACGTACGGCCTGACGGTGTGCATAGGATGTCGCAAAAATGTGTCCTTGGGACAGAGTGCCGAAAATGCCTAGACTCGACAGGTGAAGACCTCCCTTCGTTGCATCCGCAAGAAGATGCATGTATGTAGATATGTCTTCCAAGCAGACTGTCTACGCAGACTTGCTCATTTATCGCTGACACAAGCTTTCAGAGTGTAGAGAACATGTCGATGGGAAGGGCAAGTACCAGCAACAAGGGTTCGTGCTCTTGTTGAAAATGTTATCAACGGTGCTCCTGTTGCCTATGCTGCCGACAGAACGACGACATGCTCGGAGACAGTGTCCTTCTTTCCGAAGACTTCCCCAAACTGTATGCCACTAGGCCAAGAACACCAACAATGGTTCAGGACAACAATCGCAGCCGCAGTGGCAGCCGGCGCCGATGCCCGGCTGCACAGCAAGCCAGGGAGCTTTCACACTCCGTTTATCTCTGCCTTTTCGCCGGCCCCTGTAAGGAAGAAGAGACAACAGTCGTGATGGCAGCCCGAGTCAGCGAAAGCCAAACGAGCCTCGCATGCAAGCTGAAAACAAGTGCCTGGACAAAAGCAAGCTATTGATGTGCTTGCCCAAGGACTGGAACGTAGAGTCCATGCTGCTGGTCTGCAATCATGAAGTATAGTGTACAGGAAACCTCATGTACATAGAAGCTCGTGGCTGTCCTTGGCACAGACCAGCAACGATTGCATTCCTCGTCAGCCGAGTGGGCAACACCTGCCAAGTCTGCACCCTTCTCTGCCTGCATGCTGTGTCCTGCGCACGCTCCTGACGTAGAAACAGGCCTTGAATGGCCTTGAGCAAGGCCCCCTACACGCTAAAACAACGCAGCTCTAAACCGTCAAACCGCCAAGATCCGTTGATCATCATCAAGCATCATCAAGCCTTCAAAGTCCTGAGCCACCAAACTCAACCCAGGAGGATTACAGCAGACGATGCTGCTGCCTTGACCTTTGGAGCTGGAGGGCGAACTGTGGAGCGGATTGCACGTGTGTCGGAGGCGGAGGTGGAGCTCCTTGACTGGAGAGGGTGGAGACTGCGTGAGAGCATCTGTTATGTCTTACACCCGGTGGAAGCCTGCAATTAGTTCTCTAAACCAAGGCTTCTCGACAAAGACCTCGTTCTGGAGATGAGAGGTACAGATTTGCAGAGACGCAGAGCCAAGAACTTCGGCTTGAATTCAATCCCGCACCAAGTTGTCCGAAGGTACGGCCAGGGTACGTTCCAAGCGCGAACTCGAATTTGGGCTCACACGCCGTCTGTTCAACTTTCGTACGGCTCAGCCCAGGAAGTATGCAAACATCGATACTTGATTGCATCATGAGATGACGTTCTTCAACAGTGCGGTTATTTCTGTATATCTGTTTCCGTAACTCTGGACTGGAACTGAGATCATGAAGCAGCGAATGGGTCCCTGGCTGAGATGAGACAGGTTCACAAAATCAGTTTTGCATGGGAACACTCGCGCCGCCTGCATGAAAGACTTTTTTTGCTCCCAACACCCTCCGCCCAAGTTGGTTGCCAGAAGAGACAATTCGTTCTGCCTCACTTGCCTAAGACAAAAAGCGAATGCGCGACTTGTGCGAGTGGGCTCTCCTCTGTCTTTACCTGCTGTGCCTCCACTGCTCCTACGGTCCTAACTGCCTCCTCAGCACTGTTCTCCCTCCCGTCCCCATTCTGCACACCGGCGAAACCTTGCACTTCTGAGATCTGCTGAGGCGTGCTTGTGCTCTGCAAAGTTCGTCGAAGCTTGGTTTGGGGTAAGCCGCACATCCCATTCCTCGAAGTGTTTGATGGGGTGAGTTGGGTATAGTGTTCCCCCAGAAGGCCAAACGGAGCAACTGGGCAAGTGGCAGAAATCGGTTTCTACAACCGGCCCGCAGCTAGTCAGGCAGACGGCAGAGATGAAGAAGCGGTGCAAGTTCGCACTGTGCAAGTTCGCACATGCACCGTGCCACTGCACATTGTTGTACATACATCTCTAACTCGAAAACATGATAATGTCTTAAAGATATTCCGGCAAATGTACTAGAATGTCTATGACGTGATTTTTCCGTTCCCCTGACCAGCCTGAGGCCCAAATGTCATCACGGATGACTTTGAGGATGGTGACCTCACAGTCCTGAGCGTTCCTCCAGATGTTGCGGCTCACTGAAGGAATGCGAGACGAGCTGTAGCAGGCGATCCAGGTAGTGCTTGCTGATGCATCGAGGTGGGCTACGTCCAGGGTCAAGGCGGAAGTGTGCTGCGGAGCATCGAGGAGGAATGGGGCACTCTGATGGTTCCTCGCCAGCCAAATGCAAAGCAGTCCAATGCCCTGTTGTGTTATTGTGGTGTAGCGCACGCGTGCGAGTAGGAACAAGGGCTAGCGATCGACCGCAGATTGCCGGCTCGATCGCCTCAAATTTTCAGTTCCCCTCGTCCTTTCGCCTCGCCGTGTTCTGGTCATGTCGACTGGTTCCGCAGCCGCCTCTGCCGCCGCCGCCGCCCGGGCGGCCAATGCGGCCACTGAGGCTGAGGTGCTCGACTGGGTACCGCCTTCGTCTGTGGGCGCCCAGTCGGGCGACGAGGATGATGAGGTGATCGCCGGCTTTACTTCGCCCGTTCTGGGCGCGCCCCCCGAGCCTGGCGGGGTGTCGTCGGGCACTCAGACCGAGGCCCATCTCTTCATCGCCACCTTCGTGGCGGGTGCCACCGATGGGGAGCTCACTGCGGCCGTCAACACCTTGTCGGCGACCGACTTGGCCCGTCTGATGACCGTCTGTGCGGCGGCCCAACCGGCAGCCGGGCCGGCGACCCCGCCTATTTCGCCGCCGCCGTCATCGTCGGGTGTCGCCGCCAGCGAGCGCGCCGTTGCCGGCTATGTCATCGCCCCTGCCGGTCCCTTCGGCGCCTTCGGCAGCACCGTCGGGCGGTATGCCAGCTGAGGCCTGGCTAGCACCGCCGGGGGCTCTTTCGTCCGTGGTGCCAGGGCCGTCAGTGCCAGAAGCCCGCCAGTTTTAGTCCGACCAGGAGGCGGCCGCGCAACGGCGGAGACGACCGGGGCTGGACGGCTACTTGGCCGGCTTCCCGAACGCAGTGCCCAAGGGCCCGCCCGACACGACTCTTCCTATGCCCTTTGGGGCGTATTGCCCGGCGGGCCCCTTGGTGCGGTGGCCCAAGACGACGGGGCCGGCACCCCCGCCCCCTCCGCCGCCTTCTTCGTCGATTACCACTTCGGCATCGTCCGTGGGCACGCCGGCTGCGCCAGTGGTCGCCAAGCCGATGAAGAAGCCGCCGCCTCCCGAGCTGGTCGGGCAGGGGGTCGTCCCCAAGGTCAAGCCCTTCGCCAAGGCGCCACCCCCCCCGTTTGTGGCCGAGCCGGACACGGGGGCGGGCGACCAGCGCCCGCCGTCTGGGCTGTTTGGATCGTCGGCGCCTTCGTCGGGGCCCCCGCCTGTCAAAAAGGCGCCCGCCCCGCCGCCGGCTGCGGCGCCAGCTGGAGAGGAGCCGACGCCCTACGAGCGGCAGCGCAGGGCGATCTCCCAGGAAAACGCCCTCCGGGCGCTGGCCGGCATGGGGCAGATGAGCTTTGACGTCACTTATGACGAAATGCTCCAGCTCCGCATCCAGCGCGAGCTGCGGGAGATGGCCTCGCCGCCGCCCCCGGCCAAGCCGGCAGGGCAACAGGCGCCGGAGGTGATCGTCTCGCAACGTGGAGCGGACCCTGAGTGCGACCATCCGCCAAGCGCCTCGGCGGGCATCCCGCCACGGGCCGCTTCTTCATCGACTGGGCCGCCTACTACGTCTTCGTCCTTCCCGGCCCCGGCAGCGTCCTCGTCTGGGACGTCGTCATCATGCGCGGGCGTGCCGCCTACATCGCCAGGACGGCACACCCACGACGGGCAAGGAGCGGTGGGACCGCTACAGGCAGCTGAAGCACCGCCCTGGGGCGGATTTCTTCGACGCGGAGATGCCGTTCGGCCTCGACGGGGCGGCTGCCGACACCTGGGATCGGGCGGAGGCCTTGGAGCGCAGTGTGGCTGACGGCAGCTACGTGCTCCCGCCCAATTCGACCGTCGCGGGCATCTTCCTTCGCAGCCTGCCGGCGGGCGTCCATGGCGGCAAGTTGCCCAGGGAGCCGCCCCAGGACGGCACACTACGTCGGCTGGTGCTTCGCCAAGTGCCCCGGCCCGTGGTACATGCCGGCGTCGGCAAATCGGTGCCCTTACGCCGGGCGGTGCCTCCGTCCTATCAGACTATCAGTTACCTCGCACCACAACTGCTCCAGGTGCGCCCCGGACTCTCCGGGCGAGCCGGACCGCTGAGTTCGTCACGGTGGGGCCCACTTGCGGGCGCGGCTATTTCGACCTCGCCTGCCTCTACATCCTTGCCGTGGCGGCCGTCTCACCCATCGGGGCGACCGCCCGTTTTGCACCTCTCACCGCCTTCGCGGGCGCGCTTAAAAGTGTGAAGCGTCTCTGTGTGTGCCTCCCCCCCCTCCCTTAAGTTCGGCTCGACTGCTCAAGCCCTTCGCAGGGCCTGGCTCGAGAATTCCTTCGGCTCAGTTTCTAAGGTGATCGCCGCCATGGCGGAACCGCCTCGAGGCTCTTTCGCCGAGCTGGTCGCCCTGGCGCACCGGGCAGGCCAGACCGAACACTTGCCGGGGCGGCTGGGGTGAAGTGCATCCCCGACCTCTTCTCTCGCATCGACGCCTTGGCCGCCGCGGGCGTCCCGCCGATAGCCATTGAGGCGCTGCTGGCCGCCCCGCCGCCGCCAGCTGTGGCGACGGACCTGGCTGTAATACCGTCGGCCCACGCGCCGGGCCGGCCAGACGTCCCTCGCCGGAGGGCGCCCATGCGGGCCAACGCTCCGTGGAGGAGCTCCGCGACGGGTACCTGGCGGAGAGACCTCAAAAGGGCCGTACGCGTCCAGGCTTAAGACGTGGATGGCTCTGTCTTATTAGGGCAAGGTCGACCCTTGGCCGGTGTCCGCCGACACCATCGAGGCCCTGGGGGCGGCCTTCAAGAAGGGGGGCTATCGCAGCGCCAAGGAGTATTTCTTGGCCGCCTTCCGCCACCAGGAGCACGACCTTGGCCTGCATGGAGGTCCCGCCCGTCTTGCGCCGCCTCGCCAACAGGGCGGTTAAGTCCATCGTGCGTGGCCTCCCCGGCACACGCCTCAAGGAGGCCTTTCCCCTCGCCGACCTGGGCGTCCTCGTCTCCTACCGGTGCGACCTCGCCTTCGACCCGGTCGCCGTCCCCCACGCCACCGACGTCCTTGTGCTGGCCACGTGGTTTATGCTCAGGGAGATCGTTTGGTCGGCGACGTGGTGCTCACCAAGCACCTGGTGACGCTGGAGCTCCCGCTCCACAAGACCGCTCAGGGAGGCGAGCGGGTGTTGACCCGCCGCTCGCTGCACTGCGCCTGCGGTGTGGCCACGCACCCCCTGTGCCCGGTCCACGCCATGTTCAGACATTTCGCTCGCCTCCAGAGGGCAGGGCGCCTTAAGTCGTCGGCGCCTCTCTTTTCGGGGACCTCAACCAACACCAGGTCCAAGCCGGAGTCCTTGTCGTGCCTCGCCCTGGTGCTGGAGGCCGCTGGCCTCGAGGTCAGCTGGAGGGACCCGGCGGGGGTGCAACTGCCGGTCTTCGGCGGCCACGCCTGCCGCGTCGCGGGAGCGACCTTCCTGGCCGCACGGGGGCGTGCCTCTGGCGGTGATCCAGCTTCTGGGGCGGTGGTCGTCACGCGCCATCGAACGCGGCGCCCCTGACCCTGGCGCCATCAGCTCCGTCGTGGGCTCTCTCGTCTGCGCCCGGGCAGTTGGCCCCGGGCCAGGTCGTCGCGGCGGCCCAGCCGGGGCAGCATCCCGCTTTAGCCGACGCCCAGAGGAGGCGGAAGGGGCGGAATCGGCGGACCCCACCGGCCCAGCTGGCGGCCTTACCCTCCGTCCAATTCGTCCCGGCCCTGCCCCCAGGGGCGGCGGTCCCGAGGACGCCCACTTCATCTACTTGGAGAAGACCAAGCGGGTCCATCGCTCCGACCCACGGAGCAGAACTCCGACCGGGCCACGTGGCCATGGGGCCCGCCAGTTTTTCAAGATTTCCGCCCCACCTGGGGCTAGGCCTCTCGTCGACTGAGCTGCTCAACCGCCGGATTGGCGGTCGCCCTCCAAAAAGCAGGGCGGGACCGACGGTCGCTTTGCTTGTTCTTGCCGGTCTGCTGCTGCGTCCCTCCCCCTTCCCTTAGCCTCTCTTGCAGCCTCAACGCCGCCCTTCGCCTCGCCCGTCATGGCGGCATCTCCTTCGGCATCGTCGGCTTTGGTCACCGAGGCGGGCGCGGGCGATTTCCTTCGGCGCTACCTCAAGGCCCGCGGCTCGGATCGCACGGCCACTTTGGCCCTGATGGCGCCCACGGCGGAGCGCTTCGCCGAAATCATCATCGACCCGCTCGGGCCTTGTCACGACAGGGGGGGACGAGCACAAGCTGACCCCGACCGAACTGAACTGCCGACCGCCAGGGCGGTCCTCACCCATATGTGGGAGGAGGCCAGGGCGCAATGGAACGTCTGGGCCGCGGCCCGCGCCGCCGGTTTGGCACCGACTGCCCCTTGTACGGGCGGCACGCCTACGGCCGAGTAGGAGACGCCCTCTGGGCATTCCGGTTCGGACGGCTGGGCCTCCCACTCTTGGTCCGCCTCGTCCTGGGAGCAGTCCGACTCGGCCAAGGGCCAGAGCCAGCAGGCGGGGCGCTGGTCCGAGGTACAGGGAGGCAAGAAGTGGCTAGGGACAGCACGGGGCCGCGTCAACTTGAGGCTCGACGCACCACCCGACCCTAGCCCCGCCAAGCGGGTTCGCCTCACGCCAGGGAAGCCCAAGGGCGATAGAATCATCGTCCTCTCCGCCTTCGACGGCATTGGGGCAGCGCCTTGGTTGATGTCGTCCGCCTTCGGGGGAGCATTGGTGGCCATTTCCTGGGAGATCGACCGGGCGTGCTGCTCGGTCGCCTCGGCAGCCATGCCCTGGCTTCTGCACAGGGGCAGCCTTCTAGATTCTAGACGACTCCCCGGAGGAGGTGGCGAAGCTGATCCGGGAGGCCGACCCCAGGGGCGAGACCATGGTCCTCTGGGTGGCAATGTCAGGACTTTTCTCGAGTTGGCTCCCGCGCTGGGCTCGAGGGCGATCGGGGGCGCCTTTTCCAGGACGCCATCGTCTTCATGGATGAGCTTCGCGCCCTTCTCGCCGGGCGCCGCCTCTCCTTCCTGTTCGAGAACGTCGTCATGTCCCAGCCGGACGCGGCGGTCATCTCCGACGCCCTTGGGCCGTTGGTCACGCTTGCGACTAGCGGGGAACTGGGCGGCAGCCGACTCCTTCGACCTGGGCGGCCTCACCTTCGACCCGTCGGTGGCTCGTGGGCAGGTGCTGGTGCCTTGCGCCACCACGCCGGCCCCGACGGAAGACGGCCGCCCCAAGCCCAAGTGGGCTGGAAGGACGCCGAGGACCGATGGCTCGCCGGCCACAGGAGTTCGCACCTTCTTGGCACTACCATCCCCAGGCTATGCTCCAAAACGCCCAGGGCGTCCTTCACCTCCGTCGTCTGGGAGAATTCTTGGCAGCAGCCAGCCCGTGGAAGTCCGGGTCCCCCAGGACGCCGGGGGAGTCGACGATACAGTGGCTTCTGGGCCACTGGCACGCCCAAGGCTGGGACTTCGCTCCGCCCGATCCCCCCTTCCTGGGCGATGGCCTGTCTGAGGAGGAGCATTGGAAGGCAGCGCCCCACTTTGGCCAACCTCGCCGCCGGTACTGGAGCCGGCCCTGGAAGGTTTGCTCCAGTTCCGCGCCCACTGGCGCCACGACATGGTGCGCAATCGCCGTCTGGTGATCCAGGAGATGGAGGTGATGGCTGGCCCTCGAAGAGGAGCACAAAGCCCCAGCCGTTCTCCTACGTGGCGGACCGGGACCTGGTCCCCCGGCTGGAGGTGGCCCACCTTCTTGCGCAGGTCGCCCTCCAATTACGGCCCACCAGGCGCCGCTCTGGCGTAGAGCGGCTTAATGGCTGCCCGGCCGGTGCAGCCGAACCGACTGGCTGCCGGCCAACTTGGACGCCACATCCGGTTTCAAGGCTCCGGTCTCCAGGGCGTGGTCGATCTGCTTGAGGATCTTCTCTATTCGGTCGGCGGTGGGGCGCAGCTCGACGCCTTCTTGGGCCACCCGCACCGAGACGCCTTGGACCACATGCTCCTGAGCCGGTGGCTGAGCCTTGGACGGCTTGGTCTGGAGGCCCAGAAGGGCGAAGAAGTCGGCCAGGGCGAAGTGGGCGGAGTCGGCCTCCGACTTGTCCTCCACGCCGTTAAAGTCGTCGACGAAGTGGCCGAAGAGGACCAAGAGCAACGCCCGGGCCAGCATCTGGACGGCGTCAGCCGCCCTGTTAAAGTTCCAGACACTCGCCGCCGCGCCGAAGCACATGGCGAAGTGGAACCAGAGAGTGGTTCCGGCGGCTGTCGGGAGGAACGTCCCGCAATGATTCGGGAACTTCACCGCCCACTGGCGGTAGGCGTTCTGCAGGTCGTGCCCAAAGAGCACAGGGTCCCAGCCTGAAGCCATCGCCCGGCGTATGATGTCCACGATGTCCCCGAGGAAGTGGTGCGTGGGGACGTCGTGCGCCCGCATGGTGGCGTTGTGGCCAGACCTTCGCCAGTCCTCGCCTCGACGCAGCTTGAGGTCACCTCGTCGAGCTGGGTGATGGCGAAGGAGAGCGCGGCGAAGCAGTCGCCCCCCGGCGGTGCGAGGAGGCGGTATCGGCCACCTCGGGCAAGGACGCCATGGAGACGCCCCATCCATCAGGCGCCCGGCACGGGCCCATGACGCGCCCCAGCCGAGCGTCCTTAACGAGCTCCTCCCTGAGGGCCAGGGTGTGCTCCGAGTCCTGGGGGCGACGCGTCTTGGCCGCCACGTAGGACGGGTTCTCCCGGCGAAGACGGTCTATGGGAGCGGGATTGGAGTACCGCCCTTCCAGCCCGGTGCTCGACGGACCTCGCCGAGCATGTCGAAGCCGTCCTCGAGGTCGTCCCTCAGGTCTTGGACGGCGGGGTAATTCGCCCTCTGGAGTAGATCCAGTAGGAGGGGGCCCTGAAAAGGGTGCGGGCGATCCTCCGTGCAGTATGTCGCCCGGACGTGGTGGGGCCGAGCCGCGAGCCAGGCGGCGGTAGCTTCATGGGCTCGTCGTCAAGCCCGAGTACCTCAAGCCCGGCTGCCCCAACACTGGATCGCCTTCATCGACAATGTCGCTGGGCAGTTCGCCCTCAGTGCCCCGAGTTCTACAGGGTCCCCTCCGCCGCCAATGTTTCCGACGCCGTCTCTCGGGGCGACGACTCCAGAGCGGCCCGTGAAGGATGGCGCCGCGTTCGGGCACCGGTGGACGACGTCATGGTGATCCTCGGGCGAGCGGCGTCCGACATCGACTACGCCTGCCATGAGGCTCCTGAGAGGCTGCTAGACCTTGCTTCTTGGTAGTCAGTGCCGGCACCTTATGGGAGGTGGGTGCGCCGGGCGGACGCAGAAGTGCGCACCCCGGCACCGGCACCGGTTTTCGGGGCGGTGTGCTCGGCCGGGCGCATTCTATGCGACTCGACCATCCAAAAAGGAGCCACTGCACCCTAAGTAGGATTTTGGGCTAACTCGTTAGCGCAGCGCTTGTTGTGTAGCGCACGCGTGCGAGTAGGAACAAGGGCTAGCGATCGACCGCAGATTGCCGGCTCGATCGCCTCAAATTTTCAGTTCCCGCCCTCTCCACCCTGGAGCTTTAAATCGACTTATATACGGCCGTCACCCGCCTTACCGGGCGGTTGTCCGGGGCGGACGCAGAAGTGCGCACCCCGGCACCGGCACCGGTTTTCGGGGCGGTGTGCTCGGCCAGGCGCATTCTATGCGACTCGACCATCCAAAAAGGAGCCACTGCACCCTAAGTAGGATTTTGGGCTAACTCGTTAGCGCAGCGCTTGTTGTGGGTCTTCGATGGGCATCAGCCCGGACCGGAGGGGTCCATACAGAGAGGTCTTCATCGACACGGATCTCTCGAAAGCGCAGCGCCTGGCCATCTTCGGTGCCATGGCATGGCAGCGGGTGCTAAGCTTGGCCGCCTCATCCCGGAAGCTATAGGAACATTGTTTGAATGCGTATGTCAAGAAATATTGCCTGAGCCAATAGGAGGTCCAATGATGTTATCAAGATTTGTGTGCAAATGCGGTCTAGGTAGCATCCGCGGTCGACGCGGCTCAGAACTGAAAGTGCTCAGCGCTGTCGAAACGAAAATGTCCGGCTACTTTGCCTCGGTGCGCGAGATGGTGGCTCGCCTGATGTTATTGGGGGCCCAGGCCGCGGCTTGCTATGACGTGCCCGGACGGGAGGGAATCCCAGCATGCCTTTCTAAGCAAACTCGAGCACAGATACCTTCCTAGAAGCCTTGGTTTTGGGTCTCTCTCTCTCTCCTTCTCGTGTGTGTTTATACGTGGGAATCCCAAAAAATAGTATGGCAACCCATATTTAGGGCCCTATGTTTCGACCCCTTGCCGAAGGCAAGTCTTTAGTCCAAAGGTCCGAACTGAAGTATAGGCATCCCAGTCTCATGTGTTTAACACCCGCCGGCCAAGATCATCAGTCGTGACAAGTACAAGGTCGGCTTGCACTGCAACGGTTTTTGCCATTGCCCGCTCAGTGTCATGCGGACAGACCAGGAATCACCTTGCAATGCCCCGCAGGACCCAACGGCCACTTGGGGAACGGTGCTTCGACTACATCTGATTGCTTCGCATGCTGACATTTCGTGATGCGTGGTTTGGGGACAGAATGCTGACACCTCGCCCAGAAGTTTATATTCTGTGGGCAGGATACCATGACTTTTCGAGACGAGGGCGAGATTTCGTATGCCCTGGGCAAGCAGGGTGGCACGAGGAGCTCACCGCACGGCAGTTGCAACACTGAGACAGACTTAGACTTTGTGCTGGCGGATCATTATTCAGGGTCGTGATCTGTCGAGGAAGAAATTGGAACGCTCTTCCGGTGCCATTGTCCAGTATGCAGCCTGTCTCCACTAGAATAGCCCGCAGGTTTGCCATGCTGGGCCACCGCCGAAGTTCGTGGTTCCATCAGCTCGTTAGAGAATTTTGGAGCGGAAAGCAATTATCTACTATCGATGATCGCCAATGTAACTTGATTTGACATATAGAATCCAGCAAGAATGGCGTTGCCAGACTACGCTCGAACATGCGGCTTATCCCAGAGGGGCTCATGGTTTTGTGGCGAACAGCAACATATGGGTATGATTAGATATGTTGCCTTGCAGAGTTTGTTGGCACTATGATTGCGCAAGGATGTGCATCTCCACCTTAAAAGAAAATGCATTCTTCGTGGCCACTTAAAGGCCGATAGAGGGACTGAGCCACAAAGGACGTGACGTAGAAATCCTTGCATTATAGACATCTCACAAGGAAAAAGAGCGGAAGGCACCTGGGTAAGTCGAACAGCCTAAGACTGATTCCTTGATCTTCGCTTGCACTTCGCGAAACGTCCGGCCTTGGTCGTACTGAACATCGCAACGATGAATCAACGAAGCTGCATGATTGGTAACAGTGGTTCCGTCATCGACGACAGATTCGTCCATGGGTGACATGCTCTGACGTCAAGTCGACGTCACAGCAGACAGCTCGTTCAGACCGGCATCCACTGAATGCTGCCGGGGAACTGTGCTGTGTCTGCTATGTTTTGCGATTACCTCTTCCAAGGTGGGCATGGTTGCAGTCGTCTCGGGTACCAAATCAGAACGCTGCCGGGTGCGTGAGTTCCGTGTCTGCAGATTGTTCTGAGACAGCCAGAGCTTAAAGACCAGCAGCACGATGTGGCATCCGAGGTACATGAAGTGGCTCTTTCAGCAGTTGGAAGGCCCAGTTTATGTGGCCGGCTGGGAGGACCGGGAAGACTGTACAGTGGTCGACATACCCAGAATCTCGGAGGAATTAGCAAATATGCAGCGCGCATGCTCAGCATCTGTGGGCACGCCGTGTATCGTCGGTGCTACAGGTGACTGCATCGGCTACATCACCGGTGCCGTGCCTGCATCGTTCAAGCTGCCCTTTCATCTGTGCAGACAACCGCTGGGGCTCCGTGCTGGTACATCAAAGCGCCGTAGGCTCTGCACAGGCGTTATAAGTTTGGTGTCCTTTACAAAATCTAGGCAATCGACGTGCAACGCTCGGCCTGATGGAGGAGGACTCGGCCTCTCACACGTGTGCATGGCTGTCATGCCTGTTCGTACCTGCTATGTGCACAGTGGCACCATCTTGTGCAGGAGTGGGGGACGCTTATGTTCTTCATGAGTTGCTTGGATCACCAACCTATTGAATCTGGAATCTGGTGCTTGCTGTGACCCGGCTCTTTGCATCTGGCTTATGTCCTTGGCAAGGCGAGGATGGCGCCCGAGGCACCCGTGGAGGTGGCACCGAGAGATTGGCAATCTTCGGCGCCTTTCTGGGAAAGTTAGTCAGCTATCCTCGCAAGAGCGATGCAGTCTTCTGCCCGTCGTGAAATTGCAACACTCGTTTCATCAACTTAGGCCCGCAGCGGCCGCGTGACTTGGCAGTGCTGGCACTTGCTGGTTCATGCAACCCATGGCATTTCAATGAAATTCAGGCCCACTCCTACTTTTGTACTCTTGTCGCTGTCTCTGTGACGTCGTGTTTTGAGACTGCTGTTGTTCTTGCTTCATTTCCGATATTTTGGGATTATCAGTGTCACATTATCACTCATATCAGAAGACTGTGGCCATAGCGTGTATGATTACTGCGGTCGTTGCTTTCACCACTGGTCAGGTGTCATTATTGTCTTTATTGTTGTCGTTGGCATGGTTGGATTGGTATCACGACGATCATTTGCCGTGGTCCTCCCTGTGCTGTCCCTGCTTTGTTCGGGCAGACACAAAGTGTTTTCGTGTTGCATCGTCGCCCGTTTAGTTATCTTCAGTATCGGTGTGATGGCCATGCGGGACTACTACAGTGTTGGATCACCATCGCCACGGCCACCACGACCGCCACCGCAGCCGCCACCAGCACCAGCACCAGCACCGGCACCTCGTCCTCGTCCTCCTCCTCTCCTCATCTCCTCCTCCTCACCGTCACCTTCACCATCACAATCACCACAATCATCATCAGCGCCACCACCATCACCATCACCACCATCACAATCGTCACAAGCATTTTCATCATCATCGTCATCACCATCATCATCACCATTATTTCCATCACCGTCGTCATCATCACCACCACCACCATCATCATTTGATATCATTTTCATCACTTTCATCGTCGTCATTGTCATCACCATCATAATCATCGTTATTATTTGTTTCTAATTTTAACGCTACGCCGCCCGCCTCGGCTGTGTAGCGGCAGGGCGAGGGGGCAGTCGATGTTTTTTAATGCTGGGGCGGCCTGTCCAACCCCACCCTTAGACGGTTGAGGGGGGGAGGGGGGGGGAGGGGGGGGGGGGGGGGGGGGGGGGGAGGGGAGGGGGAAGGCCTGGGAAGGGGGGGGAGGCCGACACGCAAAAAGCGGGTGTCCAATCCCCAAGACGCCTGGGCCTCTGGCCTCGGCGGATTATCCAATTATGATTATTATTGTGATCCTTATTGTTATTATTGTGAAAAGTGCGTTTCAGGGTTTCAGGATTCCGGGTTCAGGCTTTAAGGTTCTTGGTTTAAGGTTTAGGGCATAGGTGTTTTAGGTTGAATCTCGGGCTTAGGGTTTATGTAGGGACTTGAAAATGAGAATACTGTTCCTTATGCTACTCATTGTAACAAAACGTCACCGAAACCCTATTCTAATTATCAAGGCCCCTGAGTCCCTTCAACCGCGATAGAGCCCTCATCCGAATGCTTTGTCCGACGTTTTACAGAAAGAAACCCCTAACCCTAACCCCTAGGCCCTAAATCCATAATCAGGCTCCTGCAGCCCCAGAGCCCGGTATTTGAGCAAGACACCCTGCACCCTAAACTAGGGCTCAGGGATAGGATTTAGGATTGCATTATTTAGGGTTCGGGCGTGAGTGGTTGAGGGTTCGGGGTGTGATCATCATCATCACCCGCATTATCACCGTCGTCATCATCAGCATCATCATCAGCATCATCGCCACCATCGTCCGTAGCAGCATCAGCACACACACACACTCACACGCACACAGTCAGCAGCACATTATGCTTTCCGTTGTGACCATCCTTAGCATCGTCGTCGTCGTCGTCGTCCTCGTCGGTCGTCCTCGGTCCTCGTCGTCGTCATCTTGTCGATGCGCGACCTCATCGGCATGATAGCTATTGTCTCATCCTTATCGTCATCATCGTCTTCATCATCTCATCATTATCATCACCAGCATCATTCACCATCGTGATCCACGTCATTTTCGCCACTGGCTGTGTGATCATGATCACCATTCCTTGCCTGTGAGAATCTCCTGACTGTCCCAAATTAACCCAAATGATTGCATAGAAATCGACAGGGGCAGGGAAGAACCTCCTGAAGCCATTTCATCGTGCTGCCCATGCATGCGGGAGGCGGGAGGCAGGAGGCTTGCAAAGCTGCACATCCGGCTGAGGTCGCGGCTCGGAGCTGAAGGTGATGAGCGGATGCTTGCCACAGAATGGGCTTGGGCGGATCATGCCGATTGGTTGTGCCTGATTCGGAGCTGACGAAGTCGTTCTAAGGCATAGAGACGAAGAGTCCTGGATTCTTCACGCGAGGCCTGCCACGCTTGGTCAGCCAGCCTGGGCAACTTCAGAAAACAGAACGTCACCTGGGCCTTCTCAGGCATCCGAGAAAAACTCTCGGAGAGAAGAGGCTTTGATACAGATCGCATGCTGTTTCGCGACGATGAGTTGAGCAGCTAAATCGCAATCATCAGACTTAGTTCGTACATTTGTGGCTAGGTTCTGACAGGACCTCTTGACTGGGCACGCCACAATGAACTGAACTTCTCAGCTTCCGAGGTTATGCTCTGGGTGGCTTGCCTGGAGACCTTCATTGGGCAGTTTCATGCAAGAGAGAACGTGCAAAACATGAAGCTCTTAGCTGGTGCAGGGAAGGATGGTGCGACGAGGAAGAAGTTGGAGCTCGCCTCCGGAGCCATACTGCAGTATGTTGGACATGTTGCACCTCGTCCGGACTGTTTCAGTCTCTGTTCACTGACGAGGGGGTTGCTTCTTATGCTGATGCAGCTGCAGGCCTTCATTGCCGGAACCCTCAAAGAGCGCCGGCGATGCCGGGAGTTTGTCACTTGCTGCCGAAGCGTTTTGTGGCATGCGAAAGGTTGTTCCCATGTCCATGTCTTCAGTTTACACAAATCTGTTTAAGTGGCAAGGCGAGGTTTGACGGGTTGAACGAAAGGTCCGCCAAGAAAGGCACGACAGGAACACTGTATACGTTCTCTAGGATAGCGCGAGCAATGAATCAACACACCACCTGATTGAAATCATCTCCTTCAGCTGCCGGTTCTGAAGTTGTCTAAAGCCCATTGAGGCTCGGCGTCTCAACCTGTACAAAAGCCGTACACCCCGTTGCCTGCTATCAGCCCTGGCCCCTTACACCTTGTGAGCTTTGATCCCTTTAACAAAAAGCCTTGAATCTTGAACAACCTCAATATGCCCTAGGAGCCTGGCTTCCGAATTTCAAGCGCCGAATTTTGAGCCTCAGTTCCGCTAAAGCTGTGAAAGAGCAAAAACTCAGGCGTGGCCAAGCATCAGCATCTCATGCACTATGTATCGTGCAGCTTTCATGCACAACGATAATCCCCCACGACCTAGTCGTGCAGACCCCTTCCCAAGCCACTTGCTTGATCTTTCTTAAAGGATGATCGTATCTTTCCTTCCCATATCCGTCGAGGACACGCTAATCAGAGTACGTGCGCACAAAGTGCGTCTTCATAATATATATATATATATATATATGTAGTATGTTTGTGTATGTGCATGTATGCATGTATGTATGTATGTGTGTATGTACTTTTGTATGTATGCTTGTATTATGTATGTTTATATGTATATACGTATACATGTATACACGTATATACGTATGTTTGTATATTTGCAGATTTGTATATTTGTATACATATACACAGAAAATAACACACTACAGGCCCGAGTTTTTCGAGCCTGTCGCGAGTGATGGATTCAGACTGTATTCCCCATCTTTCTCTCTATCGCTCATTCTCTCTCTCTCTCTCTCTCTCTCTCTATATATGTATATGGTAATATATGGTAACCCCTAAACCCTGCCTCGAAGCCTTTCTGTGTATATGCTTGCTACCACATGTCTATACAAATGCACGTGCGCACATGGATTTGTGTATACGAACATTACTAGTTATGCCGAAAGGGGCCGTGTACATGCCCAACATAATTCAATACAACATATAATTCCGCATTTATACTTAAACCCGGCTTGGATCAGAGATCAGAGATGCCACCGAAAGTTTTTCCAGACAATCTTTGATCTCTGATCTCTGATCCAGGCCGGGTTTCACTACCATTCAGTATTTATACTGAACCGTATGATGGAAACACGCGTCATATTGTCATACACTATATGGACCACGTGAGTGCTGACACGTGCATGACTTCCGCCCAGCTGCAATGCACGTGACTTCACGCGCAATTGCTTTGACTGCTTCTTTTGACCTTGTAGAATCCATCTTGAATACCCTGTAAAGCTTATAAAAGGCTCCTGATATATGATACCCCCAGTACAGCGTCTACATACCCTCTAAGAACACCCAAAAAACCGAGCCCAGTGACAAACACTAGCCTGCGCTTGTTGTAGTGACAATTCGCTAGCGTGGTCGGAGGGAATGCTTACACAAGGTGTTTGATCGTGGCCAATTTGGGTCAAGATCACACCGATTTCTTTCAGGTGTGGTCTGCAACAAGGTGGGTAGTGCATGGACCTGGTGGTCGTTGCAGACTCGGCTTCCGTGGCCCCTACCCTCTTGGGTGGGCCATTGGTGGTCTGGTCCGAGGCGGCCGTCGGGGAGTGCGCTCTGTTGGCCTTCGCTGCCGTCTTTTGGCTGCTGGGCCTCACCTGTGGCTGTTGCTTTTCGGCCTCGACAACGCCGCGGAGGCAGACTCGACCTCTACGAGGACCTTTGGACCGCTGGGTCGCTGTCAGCCGCCGAGCCCTTTTCTTCTTGGGGCGAAGGCGCCGGGTCTCTTTGGCATTCGGGCACTATACAGAGGTGGACCTCGGCGAGCACGCCGCGGGCCGCAGGACTTCTTTACGAAGGACCGGCCCTAGCGAGCCCCTCTGGCAACAATGGACCCAACGGAGGCGGAGCTCACCGCGATAACGGACCTCGATGGCGTGCTTAACTGGGCTGGTGTGGCAGGCCCTTTGGAGACGGCCATCAAGCTGGCTTTGGGCCAACCACAAAGGGTCCGGGAGATCATCCTCATTCCCCGACCTTCTTGGGACGCCGCCATCGCGGCCTTGAAGGTCATACCGCTGGCGGCCGATGGTACACCAGAGCCTGCACGGGACCCGTCGCTTGTGGAGCTAGCGCGGCTTGAGTCGGTTAGGCGGGTGAGCTGCTTGAGGATGGGCGTGACGCCCGACAGCCCCGGCACCGCTGGACCCACGTCTCCGACCCCGGCGACTGTAGCCGCGGGCCCCGCCCCACCTTCTGGAGGCCGCAAGCTCAAACTTTCTGCCATCCTGGAGCCGACGCTGGATGCAGATGTTGTGGTGCTGGAGCAGACGGAGACACAGACGCTCTACACCGAGTACAAGAAGAAGTACGGGGACTTCCCCTCTCATGAGAGCGACCCCTCGCTGGACCAGCTCTCGGCCCTCAAACAAGTTTTGCAGGCAGGGGCTGCCCCATACACCGACTTCTCCTTGTTCGGACCGCATGGCCTCCGGCTCCTCCGCAAACAATCCTTCACGGCCTACGTCCTCAATGTGTCCACAGGGGAATGGACAAAGAAGGAGCAACCAGGCCCAGGCTCCTTTCGTGCCTGGTACGAGGCCTGGAAGGTCTACCGAACAGCCATGCTCCTTCTCGAGGTTGTGGACTCCGAGCGCCTCGACAGCTACGCCGAGCACGTGCGGAGTTTCCTCACGCAGTTTGGGGACTCCGCCTGGTGGTTGATCTACAAGGCGGAAAATCGCCTGAGGTGCGAGCACTTAGAGCGCCTGCGCCGCCGACTTCACGATCAACCAGACTTCGGGTACACGCCAGCCCGGCCCTGGAACGCGGCGTTTGCAGCGGCGGTGAAGGACATGGAGTTCTGGACCAGAGAGCTGGTCACCCCGGCCACACTCTGGCTTTCGGGGACCTCGGGCCCACCACGGCCGGCAGCCCGTCCACCGCGCCAGGAGGAAGAGCAGAACGCTCGACCGGGCAAGGCCAAGCGCAAGTACACCGGCGACGACCACAGCGAGAAGGAGGGCAACGTGTTCGTCAAGAACAGGCGCGGAGTCACCATATGTGGCGACTTCAACCAGAACCGCTGTGGATCGAAGAAGCCCCAAGGCAAATGCAAAGATCGCTTCTCGCATCAATGCAATATTTGTTTGGGGCGCCACCAGGCACTCGACTGCCCCAAGCGCTGAGACGAGGCCGGCGGCGGGGGTGCCACTCCGTCAGAACCTTCTCGGGCAACCGGGGGTTCAGCGGGGCACCTCAAGCCGCCACTTCTGCTGGAAAGGCCACGGGGTACTCGCCCCTAAGCCCAAGGTCAAGTCTGGTGCCGCAGCCCGGCTCGACGACACGGCGGAGCTCATACCAAAGACCGCGGCTTCCAAGGCGGCTCTCTGGCCTCCCCTCTGAAACGGAAGAAGCCGGACGACCCGCCACGAGACCTGGGTCGACAACGGCCGAGGACGCCGCCCAAAGCCCGGGCTAGGCGCGCAGCCGCGGATCCTGGCACGGGGCCAAGCCAAGCGGCGAGCAGCAAGGGCTCAAGCAGCCAGGTGGCGCACCTCATCCCGCCATCGAGCCACAAGGTGCCTTTCTACCGGCCCAGGGCACTTGGTTGGAGAAGCCCGGCGAAGCCTCGTATTCCGAATGGCGCCGCAATGGCACCGGCGAGTACAAGGGCAGGCCCTGGGCCTTGGTCATGTTTTCTGGAAGGCTTCGGCGAGGGGACCTCCCCAGCTGGCTGGCAGACTATGGGTTCCTGGTTTGCGCCCTGGACAAGCGAGCCACCGAATCGACCGACCTCCTGGACGAAGCGGCCCATTCAGCATTTCTTCGAGACTTGGTCGACGGCAGGTAACCTGCTCATCGAGCGATGCTCTGATTCGGTCGTGGCCATGTGGGGCCTCAAGCTCACTAGGGGGGTGGGCCATCATCGACCTCGACCGCGTCGGCACAGCAGACTTCGACCAGTGCCGCTTCGGGTTGGAGACGGTGAAGCCGACTCGGTTCCTGTTCTCCGCCCACGTGGACTTTGCCAAGCTACACGGGCAGCGGTGCAACCACCCGCGTGGCACCCACCAGTCGGTGGCAGGCAAGCAGGTCTCTGATTCGGCGGGCCACCAACGCTGAGCCGAGTACACGGTCCACCTCTCACAGATCATCGCGGAGGCTCTCTACCAAGGTTATCGCAGGGCGGCCTTGGACTTTGAGGTGTTGAGTTCGAGGCCCTTCCCTCTCGGGGCCCGCAGACCGAGAGGGAGGCTGAGAACGAGCGGGCGCTCGGTGGCCTGCGCAACCCCAGGCGTGCGCTGACTCGACCGTGGATCTTTGGCCCGAGCTCCTGAACCCTGCCGTGGCAATACTTCGCGGAGAAGAGCCGGCAGACCTCAGCCCGGAAGCCGTCACTTCGGTCCGATCTGCCGTCCTTATACGGCGCTTGGCGCAACCGAGGGGACGCGCAAGCGGAAGAGGACGGCACCGGCGGCGGCCTCGCAGCTTGACAGGCGAGCTTTGGAAGGTTGGAAGAACTACCCCTCAGCCGAGGCAGAAGAGGACACCCTTCACGACCTCCTCGATGACTACGTCAACCGGGGTTTCTGCGTCTTGGTAGCTACCGAGGAGGAGGCCGAAGCGATCCTGGGCGGGCCGCCCGTTCTGAATCGCCTGGGCGTGATCGTGAAGGACAAAACTGACGCACAGGGCCGGCCAGTCCGAAAGGCACGGGTTATCTGGGACCTAAGGGAGTCTCGAGTCAACTTGGCGTGCTGCCAGGGCGAGCGGATCCTTCTTCCCCGGCTCCTCGACGTTGTCTCCTCCCTCCTTCGAGTCTACAGAGAGGGGGGAAAGCCCTACTTGGCG